CCCAAATCTCTCAACTTCTGTTTTGGATACAGGATTTTATAATATAGCAAATTATGTTTTAGTTTTGTGTCTATTTTTTTATTCGAGCAAAACACTAATAGCATGACTTTCACTGGATTTACTCAGACAGCTCTAAGAAATATATACATATCTGAAACACCCATGAAGAAAGTTTTATTCAGTTTCTTCAAGTTACTTCTAATTGTTTCTATCTACAAAAGTAGAAAACAACTCTGAATAGATTTCCTGTTTCTGATATTAACATATTCCTTTATTTAAATTGCAAAAAATTCCTATAGAAAATGTTTGTTGAAGGGTAGATCTAAGAGAGTTCATTGCTTCAAAAGCCACTATTATTCTTTCCTTTTATTAATATTATTAATATTGACATAAAAGTTGCTAAGTATTCAAACATACAACTTTTATCACTATCCAAGGACCTCAGTTTCCTTGGAGGGACCTGCTGCTTTCCCAACCAGTGGTATCTTTGTGTAGTTTTAAGACCCAGCACCATCTGATGTCACCCAAACTATCAAACTTCATTTCACATTTCAATATAAATCTCACCTCCCCTTGGGTATTTTCACTGAGTGCTAATCATGGGCTCAACAAAATTCTCTAATAACTTTTTGAAGTATTTACAAATTATACTTCCTGATATCTGATATGCCTGCCTAGAAAGATGCTTAAGTGCCTCCTGAGAAGTTAGATTATTGCTCAAAAAAAACAGGCAAAACAAAGTTTAGCATATTAAAAAAAAAAAAAAAAATAGGATTCCAGGAATTTATCCAAAGGAAATAGTCAGGGATACACTGTTTATAATAGTAAAAGAATTGCCAACAAAATCATTGTACAATAATAAGATTTCTTTAAAAATTATAGTACATAGACACAATAGAATTCAATTTAACTTTATACATGGAATTAAAATTATTTTGATGTCAAAAAGCAAATGATCTATTACATTTAAAAAGCAGGTAATAATTATGTACAAGTCCATTTTGTTAGAAAATATATTTATCTAAAAATATATAAATGCCTGCAAAATATTAAAAGCTGAGACATAAAAAATTAACAGTGGTTATATCTCAGTGTTGGAATCACTCACAAGTACTATTAATTTTATTCTGTGCTTTCTTCCACTTTCAAGTTTTTTCCTTTTATAAAAGTATTATGTTTTTTAATGAGATTTTTCGATGTAGCAAATTATATTTATATATATATAAATTTTAATTAATTTTTTAGAAAGAGAGAAACATTGATTTTGCTGTTCTACCTACCCATGCATACACTGGTTGCCTCCTGCATGTGCCCTGACCAGGGAGAGAACCCACAACCCTGGCGCATTGGGACGACGCTCCGAGTTACCTGGCCAGGGCTATATATGGTTTTTTTAAATGTTAAAGTAATTTGGAGTCCCTGATAATTATTTTCTTTCTTTCTACTTTTTAAACATGTATCTTCTTTCCCAGTTCTGCATTGGTTATGCCCATACATACTATCAGGACCATTTTCCTTAAATTTAAATTGTTGACCCCAAATGGCAGTATTTACTCTCTTCTTGCCATTGAAATGTGATTTGGGTCTAAGCACTAATTAAAATAAGATGACATTTTAACAGAAAGAAGCCCTTACCTGAATATCAGTCAACTTGCCCAAGATCCGGCTTGCAAGCTTAGTCCCATTCTCCATGGACGGAATGTGTAGGGTCTGTGAAAGGAAACCAGACACGAGATAATGAGGATCTTCATTGATACAGTGACAAGTAAGAGCTCAGGGATGCCACTGCATGCAGGCAATTCCCCTGAAATAAGGAATGGCACTGTTATAAACTGATTATGTTAGCTCCAAAACCTCTTTTTCTATTCCGAATTTACATAAAAAGTACCTAGCCAATGATAGGTTGTTGATTGCCTACCAGTTAACTTTAGGGCACAACTGGTTTAAATGCTAGTCTTTGGGATAATTTGAGGAGCTATGGGCGGCTAAAATAGTGGCTCCCCCTAAGACAGCCCTACCTCTTACAGCATTCCTTGAATGAACTGATCGGCCTCCACATCTAACACTCTCGGCAGGAAATGAGAACTCAAAGATATTTTGCCACAAATTAAGCAAATCATTTCAGGGACATAAGTGAAAGCAAGTCTATGCCTTCACAAAGGGGCTTCTAAACCTGTATCTGTTCCAAGCCTAACTTCCAGGGGCCACAGCCTCCACGATGTTGGATTGCATGGTAAAATTCAGGGCTGAGAAAGATTTCATGGCCCCAAATTATAGCTCGGTGATGTCCGTTCGTGCCTTGCTGGCTCGCAGGCCTTTGAGAGCCTGATTTTAGTATAGAGAGCCCACGTTCTCACCTACTTATTATGCCCTTTAGGATAATGGGATGATTAATGTACCTTTAGGCTCTGAATGCCCTCTGAAACAAGACCATTAAAAGCAGGTTACATTTTATAAACTTCTTATTTCTACAGGTGAAATAATAATTGGACTTAAAAATATCTGGCCTGCTGACAACCATAGTTCATTCAGAAGTAACCAATACCTCGACACTACCATAATAAAACATGAAACAGTAGCTTTATAATCAGCACAAGCACTGAATGATAATAGGCTCATTCTTCTCTCTCTCAACAGTCCGGTGATAGAATTAGGTCAGGAGCCATTCCCTAAAAGCAAGTTCAAATCCTCAAGCAATGACGCAGCCACCATTAAAATCCACAGGAACAAAAAAAATCAACCCACCAGCTGAGGAAAAATAACATGACGTTGAATATTAAAACAACAGGATTTATATTTAATATGAGTGATGTACGCCAACTCACATTTAAAATACCCACATGACTTTTTATAAAGTTAGCTGTTGATGGTAATCGTAAGTATTGGATCTTTGTCATAAAGGGGAAAGCAAAAAAACAAAAAAACCGACCAAAAAAATGGAAGTACAACGCATATAAAATCCGACTGCTTTACTGGGAGGAGAAAAGTTCTTCCAACTAAATGCTTGAGCTCCTTCTGGAAGAGTTTAGTAAATGCACCAGGTTTGCCAAATAAAGAATTTTTATAAAGTGGTCTAAATAAAAACAACAGCAATAATACTAACAGTATTCAATGCAGGAATTAACCATTCAGATGAATTTTCCATAACTATTTGCAATTCTTACGTTAGTAGTTTAGAGCTACTTCTGGAAGCCAGAAGCTAAAATCCAGCTATCTGCGGACCTCCCCTAGAGCCGGCAGAAAGAAATGAGTGGAAGTCCAGTGACACAGCTCAAACCCCGAAATGGACAAAAAGGCAGATATGATCCTTGTCCAAGGACAAAACTGACTTCCCACCATGCTGGAGCTTACACAAAGTCACTGGAAAGACAGGAGTAAGGAATTTGCTGATACAGGTTCATGAGGACAACCCTCCCCAGTGAGCGGAATGCCAAGCTACAAGAAATCCTTCACATCCTGGGTCCACCCAGCACTGAGGTCACACGCTAACAAAATGACATGACCAGCAAATGCTCAGAAAGGGAGGCGGTGAGGAAGCACTGTCGTACCTGGCCCTCGTAGAGGACGTCAGAAACCGGGCAAACGACGCAGGCGGTGCCGGAGCCGAACATCTCCTTCACGCGACCCTGCTCCAGGGCCGCTGTCAAGTCACCCATGGTGAGGTACCTCTCTGACACCTTAAATTCACCCTGTTTGCAATGTAAAACATTTAAAATACATGTTTTTAAGGAAAAGGCATGGGGCGGGGGGGAAATGCCTGCCTTTCTGCTTTACATTCTTACTGAACCTGGACAATGTCATAAGCATTAGAGAGAAAGCTCTAGAAAGCAACACAATCTTACTGGTAAACACGCTGAGGTCTTAAGCAACCTACTCCAAGATCAGAGCTCCTCTAAATGAGATGATCAGAACATAAGAATATAAGATGATCATTATAAAATGTATGGTATATTTTAATATGTCTGCTTTTTTTGCCTTTTATTCGCTGTCATGGCTAAAGCCTCGAGTTGATGTGCACCGGTGCTACTCGATGTGCGTTCTATGCCGACAGTGTCTTAAATCCTATTTACCATAAAAGAGAATACATTATCTTAACATGAACAATTACAGCTACCGTCGATTGAGCATCCATTGCATGCCAAGTTCTTTCATTTTTAAGGTGGGTCCTATCAGCCCCATTTTACAGGTGAAGAAATAAAGGTTCAAGGAAGTCGAGTGACATCCCTACGGCCACACAGCTAGTAAATGGCAGAAAGTGGTGTGAAGTCAGGTCTGATCCAACTTGTTTCAAATTCGGTCTTTTTCAACTGCATCTTTTATGGAGTAAAATCACAGACTGAGTTTAAATATCTGAAAGATTTCATTATTTTAAAACACTGAAAGTATATTTGGACTTTATTTGAGAAATGGCATTGTATATTTTTTTCTTCCTAATTTAAATTCGCTGATTTGGTTGACTCTGTAGCAGTAATCCTCAATCCTCTCCCCTATTTTTAGAATCATAATAGACCGAGTTTCATCACAGAATTATTGCTATAACCTCATCAACTTCTACTGAAGTATTTGAACATTTTATTTGCTCCAGGATAAAGAATAAAACCCAAAAAATTCCGATTTTTAAAGCAGTCTGTTTAAACTATCTATTTAATACCCATTCTTTCATCTGTTTAATTATAACTTTTATGTTAGTGGTTAAAGTTCAATTTGTCAATAGGTTATTTCAATTCAGGACAACAAAGAAGGGATAGGTGTTTCGTTTTGTTTTAATAAGATGACAGTATTTTTTAAAACCTACAAATCCACAATAGGTAAAAATGGAAATCACAGTCTTTGGCAAGATTCAAAATGTTAGAATACTGCATTGTGCTATAAGCATCTATTTGGAAGGGTAGGAAAATATGCCTGCTATAGAAGTACGGCTTTTTGCAATCTATCTGAGTCTGTAATTTTAATTATGCTGTTCAAAGGTAAATAAATTCCAGAAAAATCAGCCAAGTTAACTGAAAACAAGCTGAGCTCTGTGCTCTGGAAAAGGGGGGAAAAATTATCTTGTAAATAAACAGAACTGTTTTTACTCTACTCACCCTTACTTATCTTTGGACAATTTCCCTTGTCTGGCAAGTAATGGTAACCCCCCACACGCCTCTTGGCATTTATGTCTCACTGTTGTAAAATAGCTTTTAAAATAAATTACAGCTACAGAGTCAAGAAAAAAATTTCCTCCATAATAACCTATTTTCATGGTAGCAATCATTAGTGTGGGGATGCATTTCCACTTGCAACTTGTCATCAGGCCTTCTGGACGGGGTTGGATTTTTTCTCTCTAATAAAACAAAAATTACTGAGCTTTGAAAATACATCTTTGCAACTGCAAACATATTTAGGACAGGGCAAGCTGTTTGAAATTATACAAACAGTTTGTAAATGTCATGCCCAGTGTGCCAGCCAGCATGTGGCGGTTGTGCTATAAATAATTCTACAAAACCCCGAACCAGACAAGGCCCATTTCTTCTATTTCCAAAGTCTTCTCCAGAGAAACGGTGCTGGTACCCTCCTAGATAATGTGTGTGTTTCTAAACATTTGCTCTATTAGCACTGTTTGACCACAGAATGCTCAGAGCCTTTTCATGTCCTTTGGACATCAGTTTAACACATGGGTCAAAAGTTCCATCCAAGAACCACTGCCAGATAACCAACTCGCTCAGCATTCGTCTTGAGTATGTTATAATGTCATTTCCAATACCAAATAGTTTAACATGCTCGCCTGTGTCACATGAACCAGAAAGGCTACTGAAAACAATTTTACAGCTTGCTTGACTGTTTTGATTTTTCAAATAAGCATGTATGTGAATTTGGGAGGACAGGGTGCATGGAGGAGGGTCAACGAAGGCAGCCAAACTAATAATGTTATGCTAGTAAACATTTACGTCAGTACAATTCTTTCATTTCTGTGATAAGCATGGTTACCCAGGAGTGAAGAGGAAAGAAAGAACCACAGATCATGGCCCCATGGGAACAATGCACTTGGACTGGAAAAGTTGTGGACTGGCTAAATGGAAGCACACAAATGACAAGCCAGGCGAGCTGGCAGGAGACACCTGATGCAGAGCTCGAGACAAGTGCTAGAAGGCTTCGGGACGACTCGGCAGACCGGTTTCCTCTGCCCGCCCCATAAACAAGGCTTAGTTGATAGTCTTGCCAAGACAGTCCTTCTAGAAGAGTTCTTTTCACTCAAGTTAAGATTAAAGATTAGATAACACTGGTTGCAACTACAGGGTATTATTTCAACGCGAAGCCGGGCTTATTTTGATTCCTTTTTGTTTCAGGCTTATAAAGGTGGCTGATGTGGAAGACCCACCCACTTGCGCGCCAGGTCCAGGATGCTCTGCCTCGTCACTCCTGGAAGAATGATGCCATCTAGCGGAGGAGTGGCCAGTTCTTCTTCTGTCAAGGAGAAATTGGAATATTTTCAAACTTTAAGTGTAGTAGCCATGCCTTATATCAAAAGCCATTTAAAAGAAACAAAACTGTTTCTTGCAACTTCGCTGGCAATAGACGTGAAGATAATGTTACTGTTCTGCATTGTCAAATGTCTCAACTCAATTCACACTTCAGGTAGATCTTTATTAGATGAAAAAAGATGAAGATGAATATGGGGAAGGAAGGAAGGAAGGAAGGGAGGGAGGGAAGGAGGGAGGGAGAAAAAGAAAGAAAACCACTCATCTAATCATCTTCAACATATCCTTAACCCATAAAAAATGAAATGGTTTTCCACTCACAAACAGTAAGAGTTATAGAATACTCTTAATTCTGAAGTCAAACTTTACTCTAGTGGGTTAAAGCTGGTTAGTAATTAAAATAACATAGATAGGATCCTCTTATTCAGGAACACTGGTCATTACCAAACCTTTTAAGAACACCGGGGAGGAGCCCTGGACGGTATGGCTCAGTGATTAGAGCACCGGCCCGCAGACTGAAGGGTCTCGGGTTCGATTCTGGCAAAGGGCATGTGCCTGGGTTGCAGGCTCCATCCCAGGTCCTGGTTGGGGTGCGTGCAGGAGGCAACCCATCGATGTGTCTCTCTCACATCGATGTTTCTCTCTCTCTCTCTCTCTCTCTCTCCCCCTTCCACTCTTTCTGAAAAGTAATGGACAAAATATCCTTGGGTGAGGATTTTAAAAAAAGAATACTGTGGAGGAGCCCACCCCCAAAAGAGTGGGTGCTTATTCAAGCTGGTCACTGCTCCCACACTGCCCTTTGCTAAAGCCCTCTACAGTGATTTGCAAACTGTAGAGTGAGGATCCCCATCATATGTAGAGGTGCTGACTTCACCCTCGGGGATTCAAATGGAATAGGCTCAGAGTGGACTCAAGCATGTATGTGGCTAACAAAAAAGAAGAAATCCAAGAAACAAAACAAAATTCCTCAGGTGACTCATAGAGAGCCAAGGCCGAGACACTGGTCTATGTGAGAATGACCTCAGGCCCTCCAAGCCACGAGAGGGCTGGATGACGATTTGTCTACAAGAGCCAGTGTGATCCGCCGTCCACAAACACCCCTGACAGAAGAAAATCTCTGGTACCCGACGTCCTCCCTTCCTCTGGCACCCAGGAAGCTGCATTTTGTGAGAAATTCAAACCTGAAATCATTGCTTTATAAAGATGTTGAGCGTTGTAAGGGACGATGTGTTGCCCACCATGTGTTTGTAGAGGAATTCACAAGGTATGCTTGAAAGTGCCACCAGGCGGCAAAAGTTGGGTAGAAATCACACTGGTGACTCTGAGCTCCCCCGTAAGTCATGTTATTCAGCTAAAAGGGACTTTAGAAATCACCTAGTGCAATCTTTACTTTACAGGAGAAACTGAGGCCCTATCAACATAAGTGACTTGCAAAGTTGGTAATACTGGGGGACAGTCAGGACCAGACTTTAAGTGTCCCAACACTGGGGTCTTTCCCCTTCTCTTAGGATACTGTGGTCTGGGCTCGCCTGTTCCACTGTGGTTACATCAGACATCTCTGTCTGGAAGACCAAAACTCTATATTTATTCCTGTGTTCCCAAAAATCAGCATTCTGCCTGGCTCAGAGTGGTATGTAATAAGTGGTTTTGATTTAAAAAAAATTTTTTTTAAATGAATAACCCTCTTTGCTAGGATATAGCAGTATGATTTTTTTGTTTTTAATTTTGTGTCTAAAAATCATCTGCTGAAAACTGCTTTCTAGAAAGAGGAAAATTTGGTCTTGGCAACGTCCTTGGGGCTACTTTGAAATGTTGCTCTCAAAATAAACCTGTGTTTTGCCATAGCTAGCTAGCTAGACACATGAATGTATGGAGCTACATGTGTGAGTCTTTATGCACACACACCACACATATAGACAAACATACTTCCAGTGCCCCCAAACTGGACCTTTTCCTAAAGCTTGCTGAGCTCTAAGGCTCCATAAAGTTAAATGAAAACAGCGGCCCCGCATGTGCAAATGCAGCTTTGTGAAACATATTTAACACCCAAACTGTAACCGCTAGCCTGAGGTCAAGGAACAGAACATCTGTTTCTCTGGTTGCCAGACAGAGATGATGACATGACAACATTTGGGTGAGAAATATTCATTTTCCTCTGCAACCACAAACATGCTTGCGAGAGCCAGAACGGGCTCCAGATGGCCCAACATGAGGAAAACAGAGCCTAAAAATGCAGCTTGTTTTTGACAGAAAAATCATTTTTAGAAGCTGAAGAATTTAGAGGCAATAACAGCAGGATTCATCTGTGACATCCCAAAGTCAAGCACTAATTGGAACCAGGAATGTGGGTTTGGGTAAGTGCCCTAAACACCATCAGCACAATTATTCATTTATTCAACAAATAAACAGACAGTCCCAACTTAACAATGGTTCGACTTATGATTTTTTTTTACTTTAAGATGGTATGAAAGTGATACTCATTCAGTAAATCCAAACGTTGAATTTTTAGCTTCTCCCAGGCTGGAGATGAGCAGTAAACACTCTCAAGATGCTGGGCAGCGGCCGAGTCACAGCTCCTAGTGGGCCTGTGGTCACGACGGTCAGCAGCCCACACTCTGCAGTGCGCTGTGTTGCCAGCATGTTTTGGATACTGTGTTCTGAGCACATTTAAGGTAGGGTAGGCTAATTTATGATGTTCAGTAGGTTAGGGGTATTAAATACATTTTCAACTTAAGATAGGTTGATCAGGATGCAACTCCATCATAAGGAGCATCTGTATATTGAGTGCCTACCAGGTGCAGTTGGCTTATCTACGCACCAAGGACACAGCAGGGAACAGAACTGATGTAACTCCCTGCTTATTTTCTAATAGGCAGAGGAAAATGATTATCTTAAACCCCGAGGGGGGGAAAAAGAGGAAAGGTGATAAATGCTGGGAAGTTGGGGGAGGGGTGGTTTGCAATCTTTATTAAGGTACTCAAGGGAAGCCTTACTGGGAATGGGATATGTGGGCAAAGACTGGAAGGCGGAGCAGGAGCAAGCCAGACACCGGAGGAAGAGTGAGTGCTCCAAGCAAAGTTGGTGTAAATGCCTGATGTCCAAGAAGGCTCTTAGGGCCTGAGCAACACCAATATTCATTGCCATGACCATTCTCCTAAAGTTTCTGTAAATTCAACTACAGTAACAGGGCCCAATTCTCAGGGTGGCTCCAGCATCCAGCACAAGGAAAAAAATGTTCCAACAATCTAATTAGTCTCTGCCAGTGAATGTGTTAAATTTCTCATCAACCGAGTGAAAAAGAGAATCAGGGCTGTGTGACCTTACCACCAGGATTGCTGTTTCTAGAATCAAAACCTATATGAGTTATGGGACAAGTGCCATGTGGATACAGTCACTGTGCACAGCACAGTGCAGTGAATAGATTGTTTACTTTATCAACCTTTCTAGCAGCTATCTCGTTGAAAAGAATCAGGGAGTGTGGGTTCTCCTGGACAGACGGCAGGCTATTACTAAAAGAGCTCTGCTTATACCTGCTGTTGGCAAAGTGTGTGAAAAACAGTATTTTGCTGATTTCCAACTTATTCTTTATATTTTCTTAAAGCCACATGGTATAAATCAAAGTTACTATACAACTTTTCTCAGCGTCTTCTTTTGGTTTTAGCCCAAAGGTTATTCCTGACATTCTACTGCCTTCTCTCATTAGTACTGTCCAAACATTTATTCCATTTCCTTTCTCCGTACTTTAATTTTTATTTAAACTGTTAGGTGAACACTTTCAAATTGAAGGGGCACATTCACATTAAAACGAAAGTGATCTCAGGCAACCATAATCTGAATAATAACTCTTAAGGTCTTATATATTTTGCAAGAGTCAGAAGACCAATCCACTCATTTCTATTCTGACCTTTAAAAGCCACAGTGGAAATGGTCCATGACAATTGTTTGGATAAGGGGTAATTTTTCACCAGAACTGTTTCTGGTTAAATTACGTAGCTCTGATTCAGACTGTGCTCAAATCCTGACATCTCCCATCCTTAAATAACGATGCTGCCACTTCTGTCTGATGTAACTGTTTTGTTTGGAGCTGTGTGGGTTTTGGTGAGGTGATGGTGGGAGAAGGTCAGTGGGAAGAAAGAGTTGAATCAATAAATTATCTCCTAAGTGCAGTTCAACACAGGCTGTCATCTTTCAAGCACAACTTTTGATATATGTCATATCTAATAATTCAAATTTACAAATCACAAACATTCCAGTGTACCTTTTGCTTTTAAATAGTGCCAAGTACAAATAGCAGAAGTGGAAAAATGAACAAGATCTGTATCTGCCTTTCCCATTGCCAATCCCAGGGCAAGGTGTACTCACCACACCTACTATTTATTCTGCCTCTCACTGGAGTATAAGGCTCCATCTTATTAGTCTCTGCAACTAATGCTCAAATTAATGTACAGCTCTACTGTCAGCTAGGAGTCACCATTTCCCTCGATTTGTAGCCAAATAACAAAAGAATAGCAGAGACTACGCTAGCTACTTTAAAATAAAATTTTCATTTAAAATTTTAACTGAAACCAATATTGAGACTTTATAAGTATTTGGAAACTTAACATTTTACTTGTCTGCAATCAGTATTGTGAACAGCCTAAAATGCAAACAAGCCTAAAAATGTTTGTTTGTTTTTTTATGACTATTAAAATTCTACTGGAAGTAAATACATATAGCTGCATCCCCCCTACCCATTACTGGCCATTTAATTCAATACCACAGACGCTGAATGTCACTGAACTCCTATGGTCTCTGCCAACTAATAACAACAACAACAAAAAATATCAAAGAGAGATGATGAGCATTCAGGATATTAAAGGTAATAAAGAAGCACTGATTTTGACAGTAGACATATGTTAATAGACTTGAATGAACCAGGGTCTAAGTATAATCCCAAGATAGAGCAATATGTCCTTAAAAATAATGTGCTTCAATCGAATTGAGCTCCAGAGTAAATCCGGAAGGCTTCTGATAAATTATCAAAATATGTATAAAGGGCAACAATTGTTGAAAGAAGTATAGCAAGGGAGTATATTAAATTTCATATCAGTAGAATCAGTAGGCTATGTTTATTACTATAGCATTTTATACACAGTATTTGGTGTATGACCTTTGAATTGATCTGAGGCCTATCTCCAAATACAAGGGATTTCCGAAAAGGAAAATGTTAAGACAGCAAAAGGGGTAAGGCTGCAAATCTTCAAATTGTGGAGATTTAAATTCCGTAAGCTGACATCTCAATAAGAAGTACATCCAGAGCCAAAAAACAAAACCTTTATAAATTCCGTAAACTTAAACTCATGCCTACGTGGACAGCCAAAGCACAGTCTGGGCTTCTCAGACACTGGAATTGCACTTACTCCCTTGTTCTGAGGTTCTAGTTTGCTTCTTTCCAATCCTACTAAGAATGACTGGGGGGGGGAGAAGCTGAAATCAGAGCAGATTACCTCCATTTTCATTTATCCAGTAAAGGAAAAGATTCATAGTTCCAACTTCCGTGATCTGATTGTCCTCTCCATAGAGCCACAACACTTGCTGACACCCGTTATCCACTGCTTCACATTGGGCAAAAAGAGACGAGCCATAATTCCTTAAGAAACAGGGAACATACTGATTATACATACACGCTGACCCTTACCCCCACCATCTTCCATACTAAAATACTCAAGTCTTTAATTCATATGTGGATGTAATCAATGTACTATGTCCTTAATATGTGTGTGTATACACACACACACACATACACGCACACACTCTCTCTAGTTAACAGCATATCATTAAATTAGAATCTAAATGATCTAACTGCACTCGTTTGAAAGAGAGTATGCAAAGCAAAATTGTGGAATTCTAACTTGAAAAGTAGAGATATGAGAACACAGATAAATAGCCAAGTTAATAACAGTTAAAAGTTATTGAGTATTTTTTTCACCTACCAATTTTACATGAATTATTTCATTTAAACCTCATACCAATATTGAATTGGCCCCTATGATTATTTCCATAATTCAGATGAGAAACTGAGGCTTGGAGAAGTAACTTGAATCAAGTTACAGCAATTAAGTAGCAGAACACCAGGTCTGTACTCTCTTAACTAAGACCTTTCAGTATATCCAAGAAATGTCTAAATTCCCCCAAATGTGGGACAAGATGCTAAAAATCCTAACTTTAACTAAAATGTATTCTGAAAGCCCATTTTTCTCAACCTGCATCTTTATCTGGGATTATTCAAAATTAAAGGAACAAGGTACATCTTCCTAGAATGACTAGTCGGGTAATATTTTAAATTTGTTTTTTTATTCGACTTAAATGACATATATTACAAGGTATGAGTGAATGTTTAAAATAAAACTTGAGCGTCCTCAAATAAATGTGATGCTTGCTTGCCTCCTTTAGCCTCTGGTTGTATAATTCACTTTCCGTGGCTTTCAGGACATTAGCAAACAAGTTTGAAAAGCACTATCATATTACAGCCAAGGCTAGGAAATAAGCCCTAGACCCACTGTTGGACTATGAAGCCCCCAGACGTACACAGAAACAAGCAACCGATCACACATACAACAACAATAACTGCAAAGCATTAATGTCAACTTGCGCAAAACACCCTTCTAGGCCTTTTAAGCGATCACTTTTACACCTGGGCAAGATTAAAATGTAGAGCATTGTCTAAGTAAAAGTGTTAGTGACACACAAGAACCATCTAGCACAGTGGCTATCTGCCATTCTCGTCTGCAGAGCTTCCCTTCCCTCTGTGCTCTCCATGGCTCTTCTGGTGAAGCCAAGTCATTCTGCGTGAGTTGCCAGTCATAGAATTTTGCCCTGTGCAACTGAATTAAACGGTGGTTGTATAACCTAAACTGCTCATGTAAATCCTTCTTTGAGTTCATTTTAATCTATGGAATGTGAAAGATGTATTTTCTCACTTCAAGGGTAGTGGCAGCTTGCCTGCTATGATGTAGCCTAGGGTTATTGTGTCCATGGTCAGCAGCCTTCACAGAAGAAGACACCTGAAATTGGAGAGCCCTAGGCTAACACAGAGCCAGAAACTATGACAAGATATTCG